CCCTAAACCCTAAACCCGCAGAAGGCTTGAAGGTCTGTAGGACGAAAGGTTGCTCTGAGTAAGGGAGCCCTGGATCTGATCTTCGCGTTATCACCAACTCATACCTGTACTATAACTACTATAATATCATATCATATAGCTATAGCATAATATACAGCACTCAATACAGTCTAATATAGTACATAACACATAATGCTGTCCATGAAAAGCCTTCTCAAGACGTCGGGTTCTACATGTGTGATGCTGCGCAGATTGGGTTCGATGATGCGTGTTTTAGGGTTTCGGGTGGGTGCGTCCATGGTTTGGCGAACCCCCGCTCATCGATACTTTCGCCAACAGAAGTCAACATATATGAGATGCGTTCCGGCAGCTTGCCACGAGTCCTGCCAAGAGCATAATGTATCGCACTGAATACGCATGGTCATCATACATCGCGTCACAGAATGCTGTGACACCCGGACCCTCAACGCATAGCCCCGAAACCCCATACAGAGACCTGAGACCGTACAGTCGAAGTCAAAGATCGGGCTTGCAGATACCGTGAGATAATTAAGGGGTGCTACAGTCAAGCCACACAAGCATGGAGGCTTTGTGCTTGACCGAAGTTCCGGGGGTTTAGGGGCTGGAGGTCTCATAGAGCCTAAATGGCCCATGGAAACCTGAATAGACCATGGATGGTATTTTTCCAACTTAAACCCTGAATCCAGCAAGCTTTCCCCTGTTATTCTTCGTAGCATATCTGTCGATCAGTCTTGCGGATGTCACGAGTTATCACACTTTATACTCTGAACTTGCGTGCCATCGAAAACCCCCTGTGACTGTAGTCTCCATGATTGGTTGTCAAAATTATGGTCCCTTTTTTGGGTCCTGATTACAATACGGCACCTAAGATTAAGGGTACCCAGAAAAATGGGACCATGGTTTTGACAAAATTCCCCACATGGTAGTTCATTTTCTCCCAAGAAAGGCCGAGCCGCTTCGGAGCCCTCTTCAGCTGCATCAAGCCAACCGATTCTTGTGCTGGGCCGGGGTTTATGGGTTGTTTTGGGCTTAGGACGCAGGCTTCAGATTTTGAAAGCCAGTAGTAAGCTCAGCTTCAAATGGGTTTTGGGGCGTAGGGTTTAAATGTTCTGGGGTTAAGGGACTTTTGCTGCCCGGTGTGTTCAAGATGCGGCTGCAACAACGAGGGACATCGACTGATTTCCGGTATTATCCCGGAACGCCTCCACCGTTCAATCCCAAAAGCGCCCAAGCCCTAAACTGAAACCGTATTCACCCAATCCCAAGAGCTTAAGCTTCCCATGCATCATCTCGATACAGATCTTGTTGTAGTTGTTGGCTGTCGGTTGTTGGTCATTGGTTGTTGGTTGTTGGCTGGGGTGGTTGCTTCTGCTGGCGTTGGTGTTGTATGATGCTGTTGCTGTTGCTATTGAGCAACAGCGGTGCAGTTGCAGTTGTTGTGGCAGTTGCTGTGTTTGCTGTGGTGCTGCTATGAGTGTGATCATCAAGAGGACTGCCCGGCCAGATGTGAGGATGTACATGTCGCGATGTCAGAAGCACACTACCTGTCCGTCATGTGGTTCTTCCAGCCTTCAAGCTGGTCATTCAAGCAGGGGGTTTTGGATTCTGCTGCAGGTGTGAGCAAGCCTTCTCAGTTATGGTTAGATGCGGTTGAACCCATGGCTTTCGTTAACCTTGTTCTTTCTTTGCAGTGCATACCTTTGATAGAGTCGAGTGCACGGGAGCTCAGAACATGCCTTAGAAGCACCGGAGCTAAGGAACGCATGCACCCATACTCCGAGCAGGGAACTCAGAGTTCCTGCAGGGTTTGCGGCTGGCAGTTGAGGTTTGGGGATTTGGATTTTGTTTCACCCCTGGGATTTGTTGGGGTATGAATGCTTGGCGGCTTCAAGTTCAGTGGCCAGGGTAATCGATGTTTCTCCGAAATGGTAGTGTAGTCCACGAGACATCTAGCCTGAAATTCGATTCTGAGACTGCTGGTTTCCGTGGAGCACAGGGGTTTGAAACTTGGATGTCTCCATTGCCATGTTTTGCCCCGATACCGATGTTCCTATGAATATGGGACCATGGGCCGATATGTTCAAATCTTCGACGGCCATCTGCAAGCCTGCCTCAGGTTTTCTTGATGTGCAGAGGAGAAGGGAGGTTTGTGAGTGTGGCATAGCGTGGCAATGATTAGAACATCATCCGACTGCACATTTTCACCACTCAGCACGCAATGAGCGAATTGTTCGCAGGGAACAGTTCGCAAGTGAGCGCAGGGTTCTGCAGCACCCTTAAACTTTAAGTGCTCCGAAGGCTCCCCGGGGGGGGGGGGCGGGGCGGCCACGAAATTGTTTCGCTTCACGTTCCTTCGCTGCGCACCGTTCTGCTTGATGTTTGCATGGGCATGACACAAAGTGCTGTGATCCTATTTGTGCATAAATGACAAACCAAACTTGACAAGGGTACCGTACTTACTCGCGCTAGGTGCAAGCAAGCTCCCGTTAGGCTGTTTCGAGATTGCCAGTTGCCCAACGAGAATATCATGTTTTTGTGTTTGCTTTCACGTGGTGCGCTGCTGAAGACGGAATCCGGCATTTACGCCATCATTTGCATCCCGCATTGGATCACAGCTTCGAGCTCATCGTTTAACCATGGCTCCAACCCCGGCTGACCCGGCTGAGCGTGAGCATTGAACATGATTTGACAACCCTTCAGCCCGGACGTCTACATGCACCTGGTTGACTAGTGACAGCAAACACACACTTGACAATGCCAGCTTGGGCCAGCAAGCCTTCGGGCTTGAACAAATGATGTCAGAGCTTGGGATTTCAACTTCATGGTTCGGGTTTCATTGTCGTGATACATGACTCCACCCCGTAAGTGAATCGTCGAAGGGTTTTCATCAACTGCAAGCTTGGGCATCAAACCAACTCCGTTGCTGGCAATGGCCGATGATGAGTTCTCGCCCCAGTGCCTTTGGATCTTGAGGATGTTTTGAGATTGTTCCTTTAAGCAATATAAGCTGGAATCGAAATAGTTTTGTATTTCCTTGTAAAGTCCTTGCTACCGTTGTGATACCCCTTTGCCAGGCTCCTGCGGTGCGCTCGATGCGCTTAGCGAGTTCAGGATTTAGGGGATCGGCCGTGGCCATCCCAGCGTCGTGTAAGCCCCAGTAGTAAAGTAGGTAACCTTCAACCTTTTTTTGGGTAGTATAGTCCCTAAATAGTCCCTATATAACCCGAAAAGGTTAACCTTTAGTTCCCCATGATACCCGACAAGTAGGAATATAGGGGCCGCAATAACTACTAATACCATTTTGGTAGTTCCTCATTATAGGTAGCCCAAAAAGGTTAACCTTTAGAAGTAGGGAGCGGATACAAGTTCAGAGGCTTGCTGCCGAATCCTGAACCTTAGCGGTTGAACCCTAAAGTTTCCACCGAAATCCAGCACAAGGCACCCATAAGCTTGATAGTAGGTCCTTTTTGGGAGCCCTATAAGTTTGTAAACCCTAAACGGTCCTTCACAAGGCACGGGTCATTCTTGTCGGATTCAGGCATTTCTGCGAAGATCCTCCAGCGACCACCTGAAAGCGACATTTTTTCCTGAGCTCCAAGGTCCCCGAAACGGTTGATATTACGATTGGTGATTATATTAGTATGAATATTCGTTTTCGTATTGCTGCTAATATTAATATGAGGTTTTTGGGTTTAGGGTTCTAGAAGTTTGTGGTTTTGTGTGTGGCGTGTTTGGAGTGTAGGTCCTGCAGGTGTCCTTGCCTCTTTGTGGGTCGCTGCAAGGAACGCCCCAAGTAGCAACAGATTCAGAGTTCTCTGATAATTGTCGCAATGAGCCTTACGCCACTTCCGGAACAATGGGTTGAATGATGAGAAGCATGATGTTCGTCGTGGTAGTGATATTGGTGTTGGTGTTGGCTGTGTTTGTGGTGGTTTGGTGCCGGCGCTCGTGATGAGGGCAAGGGTAGTGTTGCCGCTGATCGTGCTCCTTGCAGCACTGATGCTAATGCTGCTGCTCGTAATCAGGATCCTCACGATGATGAGGAGTAGGGAGGATATCGATGGTGACATCTACGATCACACTCTTATCAAAGACCAATATGGGTGGTTGTCAAAATTATGGTCCCTTTTGGGGTACCCTAAATATTAGGTGCCGTATTATATTAAGGATCCACAAAAGGACCATAATTTTGACAACTGCCCATATGAAGACGCGGTGCCTTAGCATTTGCAACTATTAGCCTTGAACCATTCTTCGGCGACCTGAACTGCAAGCTCCAAACGACCCTGATCCCAGGAGCGAGCTAACCCATGGTTTCCTTTGGAATCCCCAAATTGGGGGCCTTTCAGCCGTCGTTCGCATTGGTTACAGTTTTGCCAGCATATATAGATCCGAAACGGTGATCGAGTACCACGACGACCACGACCACCTGTTACGTACAATTAATTGACTACGTCCCGCAAGTCGAAGGTAGATCTTGTACAATAGCTCCTCTGTAATGTTCCTATTCCTATGACTGTCAGAATTCAGAATCGATATTAAGCTCCAACCGTAAACTCTAAAGCATTACATCTCACATCCACGGCTCCTCCGAGGTTGGAATGTCCTTTTGATCCACAGAATTGTCCGGCGCCGCCGGAGGCTGTTCGGATTGAGAGCTTTTCTTGTTGCGCTGTCCACAGTGTTGTAAGGTTGAGAGTTTGTGGTTCAAGGGTTTCAGGGCCCAGGCTTGAATTGAGTGTCTTTGTTCGATATCGGTAGAGGAGGTTTGCCACGACAGGCCACTACTATAGGAGCCTCACTATTGCGAATGCCGATAATGCAGGAGTTTGTGTCGGACATCATGTGTGTCACGCAGCCGGTGCGACTCACAGGCAGGCTAGGATGCAGACGGAAGGGGCCTTCCGAAACAGTGGGCGATGTAGGCCTTTGATTATCTGCCTTCTGAAGCGAGGGAAACCTAGCAGCTGCACCAGCCAATGTCCGATTCCCAGACGGGTTCGGCGGGTGTGGGTGATTTGGGTGGTCGTGCATCGCAAGAGGTCGATCCTGCAGTCTTGTCCGGATCCTCCTCATCATCGTCTTCGTGGTTTCTGCGGCTCCAAAATGCAATCCTGACTGACCTGAGTGAAGCTGACGAGCTGAGTGGTGCAGCCAGTGAGGGCGCCGGTGGCGAGCATGCGGACCCTGACAATGTGGACGCGGCCGTTCTAGATGAGCCACGTCTACGTGAGCAAGAACCGCCTGGCGCAGAGGCAGTGCACAATTGCGATCCATGCCTGTTTCTGGGTTCTTGTTAAAGAACATTTTTCAGTTACCAAAATGGGTATCTTTCAGCTACCAAAATGGGTATCTACAGTAAACAATATGGTTTCCTTACCTTTTTCACTTGAATTACATCCCGTAGTTCACAAGAAGCAAGGTTTCATTTCAGTGAGCGAGGATGCAGGAAGGGATCTGATTGTGGCTATTGCCATTTGGACCACGTTCATGCACATCGTCCTGCACAGAGGCCTCGGAAGCAGACCCGCGACCGATACAAACGAAACATTATCCAACTAGTGCAAGGGCATGAAAATCTCGATGAGATCCACGATGAGCTTCAGGAGGCGGCGCGCAAGAACCCCTACATGCGCAACTTCATTCAAGGATTCCTGGAAAACTCGGGGTCAGTGGCAATAGAGGCAGTCGAGGGACTCTCAACTTTTGCCCCTGCCCCGCGCATTCCGGGGCCTCAGCCGAAGGCCGCCTCAGGCGGACGCGGCGGGGCCTCGTCGAGTGGGGATCCACTGCCTGACCCTACAAGTGCAGGCGAAGAGGATGCTCGTCAACCGGTGGCTTTGGAGCGATTTTCCCTTTAAGACCTATAGTCGGTCGTGACATTATAGTAAGACTATCCCCCCGGCGTCCAGTTCACTATATGACAGTGCATGTGAAAGCAAACGCAGGGGGGATAGTATACGCAAGCACCTTAGAAGTATATAAAAGAGTTTGGTGAAGACACCAGCTTCGGGTGTTACCTGGCCAGACCATTTAGGTTTTAGGGTATAGGTTTTAGGTTAGTTTAGGGGTTCAGGCCCCACTAAACCGGCCAGAGCGCTGTCCAATCTGACGATGTCAGTAGACAGACTTGCCAAACTCTTGCTTCCAATTGCACGCATCGCTAGCACACGGTTCGAGTCCGTACAGTTCTTGAGTTCCCATCGACGCCGAGACATTTAAATTTTGAAGGTGTGTATATATAGGGTTTAGGTTTGAGGTTTAGTGGCATGAGAACCAAGACTATGTAGAGAGCTTTCCAATCAGGAGCCCCTAGACCCTAAACCCTACTTGTTGGGCTCCTTTGTCCGAACTAGCCTTCAGCGCCTGACCGGAGAGCCCAGCCAAGCGCATAACAATACTACTACTAGTTACCAATAGACTATTTTGGGGGGTTCTCCTTATTAGAATTATGTAGTATAATGGCACCCATTCTCATTATTCAGGCCCCCAATACTAATGCTGCCAGGCTTTGGATTAATTAACCTTGAATCGGTTGAACAAGTACCGAAGCCTCATGGACGAATAGCCTTTCAGGAGCATGCCGCACCCTTCCGAAATTTAACCCGAAGCACCCTTGGAGTCCCAATGCTGCTGGGTTTAGGAGTTTTGGGTTTAGGGTGCTAATACAGTCTATGAGTGTAAGCTTATTTGGGGTTCGAAAATCTCAGCAGTATCAACTGACAGTCCGGCTGTTCGCTCCGATCCACGGCATCGTTTCAGAGGAACGCAGCTAGGACTCTAATTCGACATCACAAGTTGTCACCGGTGGCGCCGACGGCTTTGTTTCTTGGGAATGCTGCGACTGGTAAGTGCCTGACCAAATCTGCGATTTGGGCGTAGTTTCAGTGTTGCTATTTTGGCAGGGTATGGGGACGGCTGGGCGATGCTGGGAGTTTTGTTTGGTTAGGTGTTTACAAGAATTGCAAGATCCCGTGTTCGTGGGTATGTAGTTGACGCTTTGCATTGGACGTGGATATGTTGATCCTTGGAAATTTCTTGCAACAGAGGTGCAGGAAGTTGTTCGCACTTTCATGGTTTGGCATTCAGAATTTGAGGCTTCTGGCAATCTAATGAGTCTAAGAATGTGAATGCAATCCTTTATCTGTTCCAGATCCCTGGGCCCTTGCAAAGCACCTGTAGGAACCTGAGTCTGGTATTCTTTGCACCCCGCGGGCTGACAGATGGGAGTTTCCGCTTGGGGTACCTTATTTTGGGGTCCTTATAATTAATAAGGAGGGTACCAGATGCGTATCATGTTTCAGAAGCCGTCTGTCCTCGTACCCTTGAAGCATCATCATCGGCCGTTGGACCCCAAACCGAGAGTTTTGAACCTTCAGACGCCAGCAAAGGACCCTTCCTGTGATCCCGGGGTTACGTGGCATTACCGCCGGCATGTATCTATCTAGGCTACCAAACTATATGCATAGAAGGCTGAACCATTCATGAATCCCCGACCTTCCCCTGCTCCGGCACCTCGTGAGGAGCTGCGTGCTGGCTCCGCGTACGCGTGTGGCGGACTAGGTGCATGCTCCTGTACCCCACAGATCCCAAACGACTAAATTAAACCTACCTGGGCGGTCATTCCCACCCTTAGGCTTTTTCCTAGATGCCTGACTACGTGGGCAATTAATTAAAGATGATATTTCGACTATAATGGCCAGTGCTGACTGGCCCTACCATGTCCTCAAAGCCGGCTTTTTCAGTTTTGAAGGTGCCAGTGTTGCCAGGTTGGTTAAGACAGGCATGCCCCTTTGCTTTCGTTATATACCTTTTAGATAAGATGTAGAATTTGGACATGTTGCGGTTTTGTGGCTAAGCGGGTTGTAGGATTATGTCATAATACCCGTGCTGTAAGCAATACAGTTTTTCAGACCTATGACCCTTTATCAGAAGCATTTAGAGCCCATAAGGCTTAAGTTTCGATACGGCCTTCCAATCACGGCCAGTATGACAGTCTGCTCCTTGGCACACTTGGGGCGATGTTGCGTTTGTAGTGTACTTTCTTCTTGCATGCTAACTTTCCCACACGAGCAAGTTGATGATCATAAGACGTGTGTTTTGAAGACCCTGTCCGCCACAAATAACACTTTCTCCCGGATCCTATCCTTGAACACGGGCTGGTAGTAATTGAGACCGGCGTGTAAGTAGAGTATAGTACAAGCAGGATAACAGAGCTGCAACCCGAATTGCAGCTTGCATGCCAATTGCTTTGGTCAAGGTGGTTTGCTTCAGTAAATGATGTACCATGATCTACCGAGATGTACTATAGTATACCACCAGCATTGGCATGCTGTGTGTCAACTCTCGGTGTCGCCGTTCACGCTGACTCTACTAACGGGCACAAGTGAAACTTCGGATATGATCACCACTCGGTAGTCTTTGCTTGTCTCGGGCTCCCAACATCAAATTGCAGACCAATGGTCTTTCGACCTACAGGTAGTCTCTTAAAATTGGGCTGAGGTCAGGGAGCAGTCAAAGGCTTTCAGTCAAAGGGGATTTCAGAGTTGAGCCCAGGTCTACTACTTCCGGTAAGCCATAATCTACATGCATTCACTATCACCTCAATCTGCAAGTCGGAACGATGTAGTATCGAAGTTTGAGCCGCAGTTCCATGTCCCGGGCTTGGCTTAGGATCGCGGGCTCTTCGGTGCGATCGGGATTGAGGATTTAGGGTTTAGAGTTCTGGGTGGCAGGGCTGGGGTTCAGAATTGGTGTGTGACATGGGGTGCATGGTCCCGGATTTGGAGCCGAGGCTTCAAGATTGCGAGTTTGGAAGTATGTGCTGAATACTGGTCAGGCGTAGCATTCAGGTAGCAGAATATAGCAGAATTCAGGGCTTGTATCAAAATGCCAAGTGTTAGGCAATGTAGGGCAACGATCAAGGCTACAACTTGGGCGGTGTTCGTACACCTCACAACCCGGATCAAGCCGGGTAAGATCGATACGACAGCCTCCTCTCAAAGACTGAATTCAGGGTTAGGAATAATTAGAATGGGGTTCTGGGCTCCTTTATAACATTATTGTAACAAGGCACCCTAATGAATACTATTAGCGCCAAACCCCTTCAGACTTATTCTGGACTCTTTGACTGAATCCGGGTTGAGGATTTAGGATTGGTCCCACAACATCGCTACATTTCAAGCCTGGGAGGGTGTAGGGTGATAGTGAGCATCTCAGGGATCACGAGACATAACAGGTACTTACAAGTAGGACAGCTACGGACAAGATAAGGTGACCGCTAACAATTTTCATGCAGGTAGCTACGACCGTACTTGTTACAACCCTCGATCTGTCTTCATGGCACATTTGGGCTGGCATGAAAATGAAAACACACAGGCACTGTATCAGCACAGACGAACCTGCGAGCCTACAAATTCCGCACAGCTGAAACCATGTACAAAAAAAGCCAAACTGTCACACTACAGGCCGGAAGCCAAAAGCCTTAACACGCCTGAATAGCTACCAACTCTATTCGGTAGTTATGTATAAGGATACTAAAGCGTGCGCGAAAACATTGTTTCAACTGCTAATGTCCCGATCAAAAGTAAATCCGCACCATACCCACTCCAACACCTTTGCAGGTGCGCTTCTTCTGGCAGTCCTGGCGATTTCTTGTCTCAAGGCGGTGCCGAACTTGCACTACGGAATTCGGTGCCCTCCCGAGATATGCAACGGTCTAGGTTTCAGCCTTCAGAGTGCAGGTTTTGGAGGTCCGGCTCGGGTTCCCGGTTTGTCCAAGGGTTGTTCTCTGTAGTGCTGAATGAAAGTAGGATGCAAAGGTGTCAAGACACAGTGTTCCTGATGTCGTCGGCTCTAGCATTTAGGTTTCATGGTGTAGTTTCTGGAACCCACGGTGCAGGAGCAAAGGTCAAATCTTGCAGACATCAGCTGTCCGGGATGGGATTGGGCGTGCAGCGACTTGGGGTTGATAGGGGTGTTAGGGTTTGAGCTGAGGGCTTTAGGGTTTAGGTCATAAGTGTTCATGATGCATCCTTTTTGTCTGTCGTGGCTTGGTTGTGAAAGGTGACTTGCAGCAGCAAAACGCTGAACTAGCATCCTGCTGTAGTCTGACTAAGATCTTAAACTCTTGACGCTGTGATGATCGTTATTTGTCTTCGCTATTCTATCGCGAACTTTAGTAGCAGAGTCGCATCATCTTACTGTCGTAATACTAGACAGTGGGCAGAGGTTCTGCTAGTATAGTAGGCTTTGCAAGTGGACCAAGCTGAACCTTAAACCCCACGCCTTATTCATTGAAACCCTAAACCGCGAAGCCTTATACCCTGCATGCGAATGCCTAGATGAACCCTCGGATACAGGATATGTATAGACAAGTCAGACAAAAAAAGGCGCCCTATAAACCTTAGAACGGGGTTGCACTGGTGAGCTGTCGAGACATACCCAAGAGTAGCAGGACAACTATAAGGCCAAAAATATCCGAACCACTTCGGTGAGGGGTGGCCGGGAAAGGGTGGGGGGCTTGGGGCGTAGGTGTTGCGCATGTGTTCCCAAGTTTCGTCATTTCACAAGTAAGTGTGCTGGAGGTGCGAGCAGCCCCATTTTTAGACAAAGATCCGGTGAGGTGTTGATTTGACCCCGCGAGCTCGTCACATCTAGAATGGAGCAATACGGCCACATCAGAAGACTTTTAGACGCAGTGACCTCTGTCGGCACACCACCATGCTGCAACCCCTGAATCCTGAGCAATCTCAGGTACAATCATGCCCAAAAGTATGCAGACGTAGACAATGCTCGGCTCCCCAATGGTCCGACGGTGTTGCAGTTTGGTTTCTTGGGTCCTTCCTGAGCATTCGGAATT